TTTTTTCCTTAGATTAGAGGCTCAATTCGAGACATAGGTTTATTTATTTGTTTTCATAGGTGTCTAGGATTAGTTCTGCTTGATGTTTTTATCAGGACAGCAGTCGGGATCTGGGTTTCCCCGTTCAAGGATCGTATTTGAACGCGAGAAGGTGCCTCGAATGTAACTCTTCAGAGGTGGTGACCTTCTCCAAGAGTTCGAGTGGTGCTCTGACTGTAGGTCACTCCCGCGGGGATATTTATCTTTGGTTTCCTTCCCTCTACGACTTTTCCCATATTCTGCAGCCCTCCTCTCACCGTTGCAGCCCCTTGCCTCAATGCAGTTCCGTAAAACAGTAATTTGTTGTTCTCTGTGGCCACCCCTAAACTTCTGGTCGTCCCCATAATCTCTTCCTCTGAGCTGTCATACTTCTTCCTGTCAACGGGCTTCTCAAGACACTCTGGCACCACTCGAGACCACTCCCTCCCTTCCACCAGCTTTCCATTTATCCCTGCTCACTATAGCAATCCACCAACTCATCCATTATATTATCAACTGCCCCATCCAACCACTTAACCTTCTTCGATTGCCTTAACCGGCACCCATCCCTTCCTTCCTGCTACCCAGCCACTACCTTCACCCTAGGCCTAGTTTGGCTCTGTGTTGTGTCATTTGTTGTTATTTCCTATTGTTATATATGTTTGGTGTAACCCTATCTAATTTCTATAATAAAATTTGTTATTTTGTTGTTGTTTGGGTTAACTATAATACTATTTAGTATGAGAGTTAGTCTAACCTTAGTTCTATTCTAAGGTTTCTAGCATCCCCTCATATCTCAACTCAAATTTTTTCTTTCCCGCCCTACACATTTCCTTACACCGATCAACACCCAAACCCTAACAGAGCCACCACCGAGATGATTCTCAAAATCTGATCAAGAACCTACCATGGACAACTACTCTACAAAGTACTACATCAGCTCTGTCAATAAGAAAAGAACCCAAGGCGGGATCATCGTCGACCGTAACAGTGAAATCCATGTAGGAGAGCATATAGAACACCTGAATCCCTTCCGTAGGGATGATTCCAATGAAGAATAAGACAAACCACAACGCTTTTGGGTACAATATCAGTGGAAATCTAGAGATGAGGTGTCTGCTCAATGATACAGAGACATGATGTCAGTTAGAGGATACAAAGATGAGGCGTCTATTAGAGGATACAAAGCTGGATTGCCTGTTGAAAGATACAGAGATGACTTGCCTATTGGAGGATACAGAGATCTAGGGATGAAAGTGAACCTACTGGACTTCAAGGGGGGAATGGATCTAGATGGCTTGCTCGAGTGGATGCAGACTATTGAGCAGATGTTTGAGTACAAAGTGTCTGACGATAGAATAGTGAAGCCGCGACCATTAAACTGAAGAATAATGCTTCTTTGTACTGGGAGAATTGAAGACGAAGAGAGAAGGACGAGACAGAATCACTTCTTGGGAGAAGATAAAACGAGAGATATAACGACAATAGCTACCCCCGCACCCACACTACTGCCATGATATTTTCTTAAAGCTCCATTACCTACAACAGAATGAGCTATTAGTAGAGTACACGGCAGAATTTATGCAGCTTAAGTTGAAGTGTAAGTCAAAGAAGGTAGAGGACACACCATGGTCAGTTACTTGGGAGGCCTAAAGTCCGCCATCAGTAATGTGGTTCAGCTGCAATCCTATTGGACACTGAGAGACATGCAAACCTTAGCATAGAAAGTAGAGAGATAGCAAAAGCAAAGCAGGCAACCACTATCAGTCAGACAACCACCCACAATTGAAGACCTCAGGTGGAGCACGCCTCAAGGAGTGGAACGGACTAGTCAAGAGCATGGTAGAGCCACTCTGAGTGAGAAGAAGACTGAGAACAGTAGCACGCCCACTACAACCCTCGCTAGAAAATGTTTCAGATGTCATGATTTTGGATAGATTGTTTCCAGTTGTCTGACGAGCCGACTTGTGTCCTTCATCGATCAGGGAGCAATAGAATAAGTGAGCGATAAAGAGACGGCTGAAGAGAAGAATGATTACAAACTTCCACCAGATAATGGTGATATGATTGTGATTCAACGAGACCTACCGACTCAGGCTCCAAGAGAGCAGTTGTGGCTTTGTCACAACATTTTTCACACCCAATGTACTATAAATGGCAAGGTATGCAACAACATTATCTAAAGAGGTAGCATCAAGAATGTGGCGTCAACAACGATGGTGGACAAGTTGAGCACCACAACTCAAAGACATCCCCAACAGTATTCCTCGACATGAATGAAGAAGGTGAACGGTATCTACATTGACAGGAGGTGCATTGTGGAGTTTTTGATTGGGGACCTGTAGCAGGATCCAGTTTAATTTGGTGTGGAGCTTATGGATGTCTGCCACCTTTTGTTAGGGAGATTGTGACAGCTAGATTGCAAGACTCAACATAACGGGTTCAAGAACATCTACTCCGCCAAAGATAGCAAGTTCATCATTCTTCTAACTACTACAGAGTCCAAGATCATAGGTGCTCTTGTCAGTAGAGAAATATCAGAGAGATTATTCCTAGTGACGATAGGAGACCTCAAGAGAAAAGATTTGAAGGCTGACACAAGATAACCCATTCAGAGAGAGTTTCAAGACATCTTGTTTAATAGCTTACTATCTTGGTCGCCACCATCATGAAGATTCAAGCTGTCCTCAACTCATCGGGTTGGATTCATATGGATATTTACACACAAGTGAAGAAAAATTCTAAGGTGTTCGGGGGATAGTGCAGTCGCCAGTAGAATCTAAATACTTCTCAAACAGCAATCAAAGACCCCTTAACCTTGAGAGGTTACAACAGCACTATTACTTACAATGTGTAGATAAAAGCTTTAACGAATGAGGTTGAAGCCCCAAACTACGGTAGATTTGTGCGGACGTAGGTCTCCCGCATTGTAGCGGAAAGGAGTTGGATCTGGGTCAATTCAGCTTAAAACTACTGAGAATCGGTAAAGTTTTTTTTCTTGGATTTCTCGTCCAATTGGAGTTGGTCCCACTCCTAGTTATCCTAGGTCTATTTATTTATTTTCATAGTTGATTGGGGTTAGTTTTGCTTGATGTTTCTGTCGGGACAGTCGTCAGCACCCAGGTGTCCCCGTTCTAGAGTTGTATCCAAAGGTGAGAAGGTGCTCCGATGTAGCTCGCTCCCGTGAGGATATTTATCCTTGATTCCCTCTCCCTGCGACTTTCCCCATCCTCCGCAACCTTCCTCTCATCACTGCAGCCCCCTTCCTCATTGTGGTACTATGTAAGACCAGTTTGTTGTTCTCCCCACAATTCCTTCCCTCTACCTTGTCGTACTCCTGGTCAACAACCTTCTCAAGGCACCCTGATCCACCTTGTTGCCCAACTCCATACCACTCTATCCCTTCCACCAGCTTTCTGTCTCTCCCTATCTTGACCTAGAGCCAGCCCTATCAAAAAACTCATCCATCAAAATTCTCAGTTGCCCATCCAACTACCAAAGCTCTTTTGCTGCCCTAACCGCACCCATCCGTTCCTTCCTACTACCCAGCCACACCACCTTCACCCTAGCCCTAGTTTGGGTCTATGTGTTGTGCACTTTGTTATTATCTTCTATTGTTGTATGTGTTCGTTGTAACCCTATATAATTTCAGTAATGAAATTTTCAATTTTGTTGTTGTTTGGATTAATTGTGGTATTACATCCAAAGGGAAAGCAAATATTATTACCTAATTCAAATATGAAATTACAACAAACAAAGATGAAAAATCTGAAATTGCAAAAAAAAACAAAAAAAAAACACAATGCCTGAACTAGGGTTGATTCTAGGTGGAGGTTTTGTTGACCATGGATTTGGACCTTCGGGGTGATGGCAATGGAGGTCGGTTAGCATGTTAGAAAGGGTTTGCAATGATGAAGAAATGCGGTTGCAGCAAAGGGGAGGTGGCGACCAGTAATAACAACATTGGAGGTGTTGTTCAGGGTAGCGGCAGCAAGGAAAACTAGGGAAAAACAACAGGTTTGTTGTTTTCTAGGTGGCGGCAGCAAGGGGAATGTGGTGAGGGTGAAGGGAGTTGATGCGAAAAAGGCTGGGAGAAGGGTATAAGAAAAATGAACACCACCTGGAGACCAAGATACCGCTTAAGTACTACTTGGAACCCTATGATATAGCCAATAGAGAGAAAAGAGATGTCGACGGCTATCCCGAAATAAAACACAACAAAAACTAAACCCTAAACACCAACAAAGCACATAACTATGAGTGGGTCCCACTCCAATTAGGCAGCAAATCCCAAGGCAACTAGAGGGTCGGTTGCCCTCAGGAACCTTGGAACAACCGATCCAGGCCCAAATGCTTGTGTTAGATTTGTTGATGTATTTAGAATTCACACTTAATTTCAGAGCATTCCAAAATCATTCAACTTGAGCAATTTCATAATACACATCATCTTCCCAGCCTGCAAGGTTACCCCCCACTGCACTTACAGCCACCACCTATCACCTATTGTTGTTGTTGACTGCCACCACAAACCAACTGTCGACCACCTCTTGCCGCAATACCCATCATATTTCTAAAATGCATGTATTTGAAATGCATCAAAACAAACAAAAAATCCATTACGATTGATAAGCATTCAATCAAACAACATGCATTTTTAATTACAAATTTATTTTACATTGTATTTAGAACTCCTCTAAATTCCAAATTCATTCAACCAAACATCCCATTAAAAATTTCAGATTAATATTTTTGGCATATACATAGCAAAACAGTAAACAAACATCACCAGCTTAGATAGACTAATGTTTAGACTTTAGTGAACCTCTTAAGAAGATGAGCGCCCGGCAATAGCAAGTGAGCAACCACAATAACAGAGGAAGAGGTGGAGAGGGGGGAACTGGTAACAATTGTAAGATGTCTTGCAGCTAAATTATTCATTTAATGAACAAACTATCTATATCACGAAGAAACAAGGAACTTACGATATAAGAAACCAGCTATGTAAAAGTGCGCTTGCCTGCCTAAGCATAGCTGGAGAAGTTACAAAACACAAAATCATTCTTCTCCAGGTTGGGCGATTATAGAATTCTGATTTCAAAGAAAGGAAGGGCCTCTGCCTAACTTCAAGTAGAGCTTCTGAAATGTCATTCTTCAAAAGTAATGGATCGAGATACCAAAAGAATAACCTACAAAATTCAGAGTAACAACCTTTAGGGATGAAAATTTTGTTTGACGCTCCAAATTCGTTTAATAATTTCCTGTAATGTAAACAGCTCAAACAGTTAAGATGATTTGCTTTGACTCGACATTAGCTTGTGCATGCATGCATAAATTATGTACATATGCCTAAAGGTGTTATAAATTTGTGTGCACGAATACATAAAACGCAATCAATTTAAACTTTGAAATAAGATTTTTCAACTAATAGGCTGAGCTTATTAAGTTTACTTGTAAGTTAATTCAGAATCAGACATTTTTAACATTGACTCTGACCAAAGTTGGCATTTTCATTTTGGGTTAAGTCGCGCTCATTTAATGTAACATCCAATTTTGACAATTAAGGTATAACTCAAATTCCACATCCCTCAGAATTTGATTGAATCAATTTTATAAAATTCTACACGTCAAATCGATCAATTTGATGTATAACACTATGCATGAATTTTTAATGTAAAAAAAAGATATAAAATTACGAAGTTATAAGATTTAATACCCTTATTAAATTCTTAATTCTCTTACTGTTCCAACCCGACTTCTTTGCACTTAACTGCGCATGTGTGGGCTTGATTCGATCAAACAAAGAAGATAATTTGGAATCATGTTTATATGCCGCATTTCCTCCCATTCCTTCTCCCTCACATCATTGCTCGGCTGAAATTTCCAGCGATCGATCTCTGTAGCAAGCACAAACAGAGGGGTAGAAAGCCAGTAGAGAACCCCCACTCCCGGTTTAGGGTCCCAGAGAGATTTTTGTGAGTATAAACTCCTCTTCAATGAAACTTCTGACATTCATTTCCTTCCATACTCTTTCGTTTTCACATTTGCCACAAATCATTGCACATTTTGGTCTTCGATCACCGTAACGGAAGGCGAGCTTGTGTCAAAGACTGCAAACTTGATCTAGGGACTTTTGTATGGGGTCTTTAGCCAGAAATCAACAAAGTAAAGAGGATCGGAGGAAGAGGGAAGAACAATAGAAAGTATCGGAGGAGCGAAACCATTTGAGATAAAAATTAATAAATAAGTTAAATTTGGGTTAAATCATGAAATGAGCTAATATTTCATGAAATCCAAAGATGTTTATGAATTCCAGGTTATTTACAAGTGCGAGCTTGGGAAAACTCATCGTAGCACTGCTCCATTATTTCAAGTGAAATAATCTTGTGTTAACTTTAGAAAAATAACTCTGCATGTTCATGTGATTTACATGTATAATTTTCTGCATATTGTGGATGAATACATGCATAAATTGAATGAATGCAAACTTATTGTCACTTCTGACACCTACGATATTACTATCTTATGAATCTAACGAGCATACTTATGAAATCATTGCTTGCAAGTATTCATTTTAATATGACTCATGTATATGATATATGAAATATCAATGATGAATTTTTGTTATAGGATTTATAATTTAAGAACTGTCAGTAATGTTATTGGTATGCTATTACATAAATACTTGCAAGCATAAATGATAGAGAACAATGGGATTCTCGGCTCATGTTATTCAAATGGATACGAAACCCCGGGAACCATTAAGATCAAATGGCGACAAAATGTAGCAGGGGGTTATTAATAGGTATGATGGGGGATCCAAACTTTATCAATAATTGACGTAGTATTCGAGCTGGGTGACAATCAAATGATATGACATGATATGAGAATAGTTGAGGTTTATAAATTACAAGTGACATTCTTATGATTAGACTAACGACTCTTATCAAGATGCTTATGATTACACATGCATGGATGATTACCTGTCTTATATAGTTGTTATGCTTTTCTACAATACAAGTCTTATGTTTTATATGATTATATCATGTTCCGACATTGTTATCAACATGTACATGAGTCGTATATGAGCATGCACGTTCTTTATTTTCTGTCTATTAAAACTTATTTTAACATTAATTATTTCGTTGTAGCTCACTCTACATTGTTAACTTTTAGGAAAAGATAAGTAGCATTAGAACGAGCAGTCATGTATGATTTGTATAGCTTTTATATTTCATAATTTTGGGAGTTTGTATAAATTTTTTGGTATTTACTTTTATTATGTTGGATACAGCTCTATATTGATATATATATTTTTTGGTGATATAATTTTTCACAAGAAAAAACTCAAAATGATCCCTCAAATATTAAGAAGTGTCCCATTTAGTCCTTGAGTTTTAAATGCTCCAATTTAGTCCCTGATTATTAAAAATTATTCTGAATTGGTCCTAAATAAAATTTATCATTAATTTAACAGTTCCTTTCACATTTTAAAGGGTAATTATATCTATTTACAAAATTCACGAATTAAACATACGACGGGCTCGCTTATTCTCGTTGGAGGATTCATACACAAAACAGTCTCACATTAAACCTAAATCTTCGCTACCCTTACACTCGTGTAACTTCTCCCCTTCTATTTCACCATTGATGGAGCAACTCAAGGCACGTACTCATTCGCTGCTTCTCTACTTGACGGAGCAGTCCTTGTCTGTCTCCATCTGTGTTGCTTGTGTTGACGACAAGACTTTGTCAATATTCGAGCGAGGCTTCTCCCCTTCTGTTTCACCATCGACGAAGCAAGAACCTTAAGGTGACCACTTATTCGCTGCTTCTCCACTCAACGGGACAATATTTGTCACTGCCTCCATCTGCGATGTTTGTGTTGATGACAATGCTTTGCCTCATTCGAGCACTTGCACATCACCCTCGACCATTGTTCATTGCAATGAGAGATGGCTTCAAACTACGTCGGTTCAACCTGGAAAATTTGCGACTCCAATCATGTAAATACGACACTTCAAAATTGAGATGGGTAATTCATTGAAAAATATATATATAATATGTGGTAAAATAAATTATTTAATCGAATTTAAAAGCAAAAAATGATGAATACAAGAGATTTCAAATTTTGTGATGTTTGCTTTTAATCGTATTTGAGCAGTATTTAATTAGGTTTTAAGCAAGATTTAGCCTAAATCCAGCCAAACAACATAAACAATAATTTTTATGCAAGATATATTTATAAAAACTTACATAAATGATGAAAATACGCTCCAATTCATGTAGGTCACCGTTAAATTTAATATAAAATATGATTTATGACCAATTTGGAGCAACTGTTAATAGTATAGGACTAAATTAGAGCATCCTAAAAACTTTGAAACTAAATTGAACACTTGTTAATAGTCAGAGTATATGGATTTAAATGTATTAATAAATGAAATGTATCAAATATGTTTGCCTCAATTCAGCTAAACTAGTTAATCACCTACTGGATCTTAATTCAACAGGTTAGGCTGAATACTGTGAGAATTTAGTTTGACTGAATCGTCAGCCTTTATCGCACAGCAGTTAGACCTTAAGAGGGCCCACTTGGGGTGTGACAGAAAGTAATATCGAAGCATAATTATTGGATAAAAAGAATGATAGAAGCGTGTTTGATTTGAAAAAGTAAGAATGGGACCAAATATGATTTGATTTATACATAGCTAAATGTTGATTTATCTGAGGTTGTTAGCCCACATGACTTAAGGTAACATGCATGCACAACATAATTATTATATGATAAATTACATTTGAATAATAAATTATGTCAATAGAGATGAATATGCCTGGAAGAATCAAAAAGTATTGAGGGCCAATTCATATAAATGTACTATAATAACAAAGAGATTCACAAAGATGAGCGCATGATTCGACAATTATTTTAAATGTATTATATTGTTTGTCATCGTCTCACCTAAACAAAAGCAATAAAAACTAAATTATGCAATAATTAATCTTTTTTACGTTATAAAGATATTCATAAAGCTATAAGCTTAATATCAGTATGATTATAAATATTATTATTTATTTATTAAAAAAAACTCTACCAATATATTTTATTTGATCGTTTCAATAGTACCCACTACCCACGTATCATAATAACACAAACAAACCATAATTTAAATAACTCCTTCTTTAGCAACATTTCAAAACTACAATCATTTTTAAGAACTACAATACATTTTTCATGCATAGGTTAAGATGGCATAAAAGTAATAAATTAAAATTAAGGTGTTGGATAGATAAATACATAAGATTTGAGTGGTATGGAAGTAAATATTCTTTAATAATATATATATGCAAGATAATTAAATAAAAAAGTGCAAGTATCTTTAATGTAAATTTGCTTTAAATATATTTTCATCTAAAAATATTCTCCCTGTAAAAGTAGAACGACTTCATTGCATTATGGGCTCTTCATGAGAGATAGGGAGGGGAATGCCGAGGAGAAGAAAGAGCACGAGAACGAGCACGAGCAGCGGTTTGATAACGAGTGCAAAGTTTTCGCATTGCTGCAAGTTCTCTAATTGATTCCCTCCCAAACCTTCCATTAAGTTCTCTCTAATCTTTCTATTGTAATCCTCTTCCTATTCCGATCAGAACATCGACATGGCGCTGTCGAAACCCTAAGCATGTCTCTAGTATAAAAACTTCAAGGCCCTCAAAATGTCCCCGCCTCCTCTGCGATCGTCATCTTTCGCAGGGAATCTGACGTTGATGCCATCGCTCGGTCTCATTCAATAGCCACCACAATCTCCGTGCTGGAGGCAGCCGTTCTTCCTTCTAATCGGCGAGATGCATGAGATTTTGTTTCTTTTTTCACCGGCGGCAATGCTTCTGATGTTCCTACATCCGAGAAACAAATCTCGTGCATGTTCTCGCCGATTAAAAGAAAGAACGGTTGGCTCCGGCGCGGGGATAGCGGTAGCTATTGAATGGGACAAAGCGATGGCATCAGCGTCGGATTCCTTGCAAAAGACGAAAAACGCAAGGGAGGTGGGGACATTGCGAGGGTCTTGAAATTCTGATATCAGAGACATGCTTAGGGTTTTGATAGCGTCGCGTAGATGATCTGATCGGAGTAGGAAGAGGATTACCGGAGAAAGATTAGGGAGACGTTAATGCAAGGTTTGAGAGAGAACAAATGAGAGAGCATGCAGCAATGTGAAAACTCTGTGCTCTTTATCAAACCGCTGCTCGTGCTCGTGCTCGTGCTCTCGCTCTTTCTTCTCCTCTGCATTCCTCTCCCGATCTCACATGGAGAAGCCTAGACAACAACGGAGTCGTCCTACTTTTATGGTTAGAATATTTTTAGATGGAAATATATTTGAAGCGAATTTAATTTAAAGATACTTGCACTTTTTTTTATTTACATATATTGCATCTATAATATTAAAGAACATTTACTTCCACACCACTCAATTCTTATGTATTAACGTATCTAACACCTTGATTTAATTTTTTACTTTATGTCATCTTAACCTATGCATGAAAAATGTATTGCAGTTCTTAAAAATGTTTGTAGTATTGAAACATGGCTAAAGAAGTAGCTATTCAAATTATGGTTTATTTGTGTTAATAATACTTGGGCAGTGAGTGTTGAAACGATCAGTTAAAATATATTCATAGAATTATTTTTAATAAATAAATACTAATATTTATAATCATAGTGATATTAAATTTATAGATTTATAAATATCTTTATAACTAAAAAAAAGATTAATTACTGCATAATTTAGTTTTTATTGTCATTGTTTATATGAGAGAATGACAGGATATAATACATTTATAATAATTGGTCAATCGTGCGCTCGCCTTTGTGAATCTCTTTCATGCGCTCGCCTTTGTGAGTCTCTTTCATGCGTGTTGACCTCATTTTTAGTGAGGTCTTAGTTTTTACTCTTAGAATCCAGGATCTAGCTTTAAGAGTTTCTTATTGACCATCCTAGCGGACTAGTAATGGAGCCCACCTCCCATAGAACTTTTGAGTCACATCTTGACTCATTTTCTTGACTCATTTTTTTGCAGACCTCGCATGAGTAGTCCCAAGCACTCGACACTTAGTTGCAAGGGCTAAGGACTAACATGTAGAGGGCCCGAAAATGAGTTCCCACCGGATCAGACGGTCATAGGTGAACCCGCCATGACTCGAATGCTCGCGAACGTCGTAATTCACGCATTCGCTACACCACGCACGAGGTTAACGAATTTTTTAGCCCGACCGCCGGCGAATTTGTCCGGACGACCCCGGATGACGAAACGGACCGCACCGACGAGTCTGAAACGTTAACTTTAGCTAGAAAGGACACCTGTATTGCTAGAGCTACGCGCGCATCAATGGCACGGCAATCGATGTGCATTTTTAGCGGGATGCGAGCCCGGCTCAACCCAAGTTCGACTCGAGCTCGATTTGGGCTGATCACCATCTCACAGAATTTCAAATTTTGAATTTAAAAATTCAAACAAAATATTTAAAACTCGTATTAATTGAAAATAATCCCCTGTTATTATTTTCCAAATGAGCAGCGTGCACCAAAGGAAGGTATTCATTTCCCCGCCAATTGCTTCTCATAACGGCTCTCGAGCCCGCTCCTTTGATTAATAGGCCTCGCTCAGGAGAGACTTTGGCCTTTTTCCTCATCCATCAAGCTCTCACTAGACCGAAGACCTCTGTTCCCTCGTCTCCCTCGCTCGACGGGATTCTCCCTTCCAGCGAACCAAAGCGCCCTGCTCCTACGCCGAATACGCTGCCATTCCTCTCTTTCGCCTCCTTTCCTCCTTGCGTCTCCTCCCTGCACTGAAGAAACCCACTCTTTGCTCGATCCAGTCTCCCGCACCGAAGCCGCGGACCCCATCTCCTCTTTTCCTCGACCCCCTCCTCCTGCTCGGCTCGCCTCTGCCGCTCGACACGCCTTACAGCACGTACCTGCGTCGCCTTCCTTCTCCCAGCCGCGTCTGCTCTCCTACCTGCAACAAAGGTCCGATCGATTCCAAATAATCCACCGATCGATTCCAGGTAATCCAGGAGCACTTCTCTGATAGTTTAACGTCATGTGCATGAACTTTTTTTGAAGAAGATGAGGCTAATATGAGAAGTAAAGTGATGGAACAAAGATGTTTGTGTTGTTGTTTCCTGCAGTTTTATGGATGATTTTTGGTATTGTTTCTAGACCATCTTTCTTAGATTTATTATGGATGCTAAACTTGGTCAATCTATAAACTTAAAAAGTTGCAGGTGTTTCTTTCATTTTATTTTCTCAATGGAAATTGATAGGTTATAGATTACAAAGTCTTTGAACTATAAGACAAATTGCTTACTTAATCTAATTTCCAATTTTTGTGCAAACACTTGATTCAATTAGCTAAATCATTGTTATTTCAAATCATTTTGTAGACACATTTTTATTGGCAATCCTTAATATGCAAATCCTTTCTAATATGCAAATCCTTTCTTATGCAAATCCTTTCTATTGCCTTTTTTCTGTATTTCGAATATGTAATATTATGAGCATTTACGGTTAAATTTACTTTGCTTCATATGCTAATCAACAATTCCATTACTATGAAGACATTCAAATCACTTAGAATGGTCTTATACCTGCATAAACACATCATGCCCTAAGATGCATTAGAGAAACGATTTGATTTCTCCCAATTTTCTTTATTTGACGAACAAAGTTCGGCATTTATGTGTATTGATTCCTTATGTTCGAGCATCACAGGTTAAACATTAATATCATGGATTATAAAATAACTTTTCCTTGACTCACCTGCAGCTAATTTTGAGGGCATTTACATACATAGTACACAATTCTGCTGTATTTACATATCTCACCTAAGCTTTCATGGTTACATAGCACTCAAAGCTTTAATTTCATATCGAAAATAGCTTTATTTTTTTTTTGTCAAAAGTGAAATCCACTTTCTCACGCGTAGATTCCTGACACCAAACCGTTATAACAATAAATACAAGGTTTAGGTGTAAGATATGCGAGTACATCTGAATTGAGTGACATGTATGTAAACGTCCCAATATTAGTGGGTGTGCAGGTTCAAATTTCCGATTCAATACTATCATAAGTTTTTTTTTTAACATGATATGCTATTAAAAGTGTTGTTTTCTTGCCTTTAAAAGTGTTGTTTATTGTTAATTAAATGTTGTTGGGAGTCATTAGGTGCTGAAATTATTATTTGAGTCGCTTGAGGTAGCTTACAAGGGGTGGAATTAACATTTGGGTGTTGTAGGAAAATTGGAATTAATGTTTGGGTGCTGAAATTGGGAATTGGACTGCTGTAGGTAGCTTACAAGTGCTGAAATTAATGTTTGGAGTGCTGTAAAGAACCTTAAATTAATTTTTGGGTGCTGAAATTATGTTTTGGACTGTTGTAGGAAGCTTGCAGGTGTTGGAATTAACGTTTTGGTGTTGTAGAAAACATGGAATTAATGTTTGGGTGCTGAAATTGGGATTTGGACTGTTGTAGGTAGCTTACAAATGCTAAAATTAATGTTTGGAATGCTGTAGAGAACCTGAAATTAATGTTTGGGTGCTGAAATTGGGATTTGGACAGCTGTAGGTAGCTTACAAGTGCTGAAATTGGGGTTTGGGCTGCTGTAGGTAGCTTACAAGTGTTGTAAATTACTATTTGGAGGTGTTAAAAATAATGTGAGAGCTTTTAAGAGTGCTATGAGAGCTTTTGGGATGTTGTGAGAGCTATTTGGTATTATTTGGAATATAGTTAAGTGTTGTTTGGGGCATTTTAAGGGCCAATTTTGGCATGGTTTTAACACCGTTTGGGCACCATTTTGGCACAGTTTCGGAGCTGATTTAGAGAGTTTTGTCTATTGTTTTGGGGCCAAATTTGGAGAGCTTTATTTATTGTTTTTTGTTCCATTTGATCATCATTTCAACGCTTTTAGGCCGATTCACTTATTGTCTTCCCCCTTTTCGACTTTGCTAGTTTTAGAAGTGGATCGGAAGTCAAAAAAATGGGAATTTCTGATTTAGTTACTTCGAAGACACTTAGAAATATTTGAAAATTAATTGGAAAACACTTAATTGAGGGTGAAATGTCTTGAATCACTTTAAGCACAAGTTAAAACATAGGCTTCTAGATTTCAGGAGCACACCTTAGGTGACAGTCCATTCACTTAATTCTCAGCATAGGCTTCTAGATTTTAGGAGCACACCCTAGGTGAGAGTTCATCCACCTAATTCTCAGCGTAGGTTTCCTAAATTTTAGGAGCACACCCTAGATGAGAGTTCATCCACCTAATTTCCAAATAAATAATGAAACTTAACACTCGACCCTGATTCACAAACTGATTAAAACACTAGACACGAGGATGCATCGAGACGCAGTTCATGCTTCCTTAATTAAATCAACAGTGAAATTCCCGCAATGACTTAACCAAAAATGAAACTGATTGCACTGAAATTTGAGTTTGGATATTACACTCAAATCCTCCTGGCAATTGCGGAAATTTGTTAACGCCACATATGGATCACCGGACCAGGATAAGTCTAGGGTCTAGGTGGCGAGAGCGATGACGACATTGCTTATGTGTGCTTAAACGAGGAATGCAAAGTGAGATTTTTTTAGAATAGTATCCCCTACCTCAAGAATCTTCAATAAGAAAGAGGAAATTATCAATGATACTATTCGCTGATTCTTGGTGGGACCATTGCCCCCGACTGACACTTTTAGGTTGTCAGTAGTTTTAGCACGATTAGAGTGACTAGCCTGTGGACTACACGACTTCACAAAATATTTACAAAAATCAAACAAAATCTCTTTTGCATGTTAAAAAAAACTATCTGTATAAAAAAGACCTAAACAACAGCTTTTGCATGAAAATCAAAGAATTTTTCTATGAAAAATTTATAAAAATCTATAGTTAGTCATTTGGATCGAGGTTAAGGACTGTCTTCTGTAGATTGTCGGGTTGGCAACTCTTACCCAAGGTAGGGAAGCACACAGTCCAGCTCTGAGCCCCCACTTTTACCAATGTCTTACACTCAGTCTTGGTCTTTCATACGTG